CAAGCCCTACGAGTCACATGCAGAGACCAACAGGCCCTAGCTACGTGAGCAAACCATAACTGCTGAAACACAGACTTGAATTCAATCATGAGTATATATTCGGGCAGCTCATTCTCTATTTCATATTCACTGCATGCCTTGATTTTGGTGGGGGGGGTCTGCGCTACATGGTTGCACGGACCCTTCAGATAGCCTGCATGGGCCGTCTTAGCCGTGTTAGGGGGATTCCCCCACCCCCCCCGGAAAAAAAAAAGCATTCACACACACACACACACACACACACACACACACACACATTCACACACACATAGACACACAAATTCACACAACTTTTTTTTTTTTTTTTTTTTTTTCCATTTCGTCTGGGGCATTGCCCTACAGGGCCCTTCAAGCAGTGCCGTCGCTCCCCACACTGCCCACAGCCCCCCCAAGCCTTACCGTCGCTCCCCACACTGCCCAAAGGCCCCCCCCACCCTGCACAACCCCCTGCGCAAACGCGTCAAACGCATTTACCGCCGTTCACTGAACATGCGTTCACAGCGTTCAAAGCCTGAACGCGAAACGCTCGTTCAATGAACGCGCGGTAACACAGACCGCCAGTCTCCATGTTCTAATACACATTTCATTAAAAGTGAACCTTTTGATTGTTCACTTTTTGTCACAAGGCCGAAATTCATGTTGGAGCGACATAAACAAGAGAAATTCATGTTGGCAATATGAACTGAGGAACAACATAAATAAGAAAAAATCGATACAATCATTGCTAAGTGTCGCTAAGTGGGCAGTGCCATGAGTGTCGCAAGATCAACAACCTCCATCGCTTGGAGTACTCGACCCATCAACCTGCAACTTGTTAGTGGGCCTAAGACATGTACTGAGTCGATCGTCCACGAACCCCCCCCCCTCCCCCCCCAACCCCAACCCCCCTAGCCGCCTAGCACACCAACGGTGACCAACCCCGGGCCCTTAAAATCAGTGTTGCATCGAATGTTTCCCTTGTTGGCTATTTTTGAGGTGCTGACCCTCCCCTCCACCACCCCCTGCTCCAGCACCCCAACCCCCTGGAAGTCACATTCTCCCATATTGGCCCTAACCCCTGGAAGTCACATTCTCCCCTTTTGGCTATTTTCGAGGTGGGTGGACCAGTTCCAGGGCCGATGACACGTACTGACCCTCCGCCTCAACCTCCGCCCTTGCCCCACGCCCCACGCCCCACACCGTCCACCCCTCCCACCCCCCCCCCCCCCCCCCCCCTGATATCCCAGCACCCCGACCCCCAAGAAATCACATTTGGCGTTCTTGGCTAATTTCGAGGTGAGCGACATCTGATAAATGAGTACATTTTCTTGCATGCCACCTGCTGAAACTTCTTTGCTGCACCCCAATCCCCTCAATATTACTTTTTGTTCTTTGTCGGGCAATCTTTAAGTCAATCATGCGCTACCAGTTCTTTTGTCGGGCGAAGATCCTCAACGTCCAAACTTAATATTGCGCCACAAACGTGGACTGAACAATCCGAACCTCACCACCCCAACCCTCTTCAAAACGACATCGACCCTCCTTGAATACCACATTCTGTCATTTTGGCTCAAAATCTTAAACTACGAATTAATTCCCAAATGCTTTCACACACTTAGTCGTTGGAAGAGGTGAGGAGGCGCTGCAATCAGAATTTAAGGACCTTGGCATCGCACAGTTCCCACTCTCGCAGAAGTGAATCATTGCAATTCTGGTGCATCTTTATCCATCAATACGGCAGTTGAGCGAGAAATTAAATCAATGCGCAGGGGTAAGGCATCACACATTTTTAAGGTCTAGCATTAAACGTTATATAACGGCGAGTGAAAACTCACGGTACAGGGGCCAACAATATTTGTTGTTAACGGTCATTTCTGCATTGTATGAGACTCCAACTGGATTTCGCGCTCGTTCTCCGATGTCAGATCCGTTGTCGACCCCTTTTAGTGAAAAGGAATGGGCATCAGGAATCACAAAAGCGACAACGACGAGTGCACATTAAATGTTTTTGCGACCCAATTAGTGAAACGTCAAGGCTTCGTGCACCCCTTTCAGCGATATGTACCCCTTTTAGCAGAGATTGCAAAAGGCTTAAAGCGGAAGTCGTAAGAGGTGAGGAGGAGTTGTAAGCCGGTTATAAATTCCCTCGAGTAAAGGCGGAGGAGGGAATTTAAAACCACGAATCAATTCGCACATGCTTTCTAATAGTGCGTCGTCGGAAATGATGAGAAGGCGCTTTAAGCGGTGTAGAAATGAATGTCAGCAAAGATGGAGGAGTCAATTTCACAATTGGCAAGATATGACGCAAAGGACAATCTTTTTGACGATTTAACCGTTTTTTTCGACAAGACAGAAGAAAATCATTTCGACAAAATATCATTTTTTTTCAACTTGCATAAATGATCAGTCTTCTGGTGACAACGCTGAAGGTAACAATTTTGGCCAACCATCCATTTTGGCGAATACCGCATATCGATCCTTAAGCGACAACAACGTTGAAGCAAATCTACAGTAACACGCAAACATTCTGGCTTCAACAGAGTTGATGATAATTTGTGGTGAACTTGCACCTATGAAAAAAATTCTGGTGACAACACAAAAGGTAATCATTCTGAAAAATTTGAAGATATGAACGGTCTTATGACAAATGTATGACTTCTAAATTGCGAATATGTTCGCCTTTGTCACATGGAAACAATAGTCAACATTCAGTGGAGACCACAACATGTATTCTGGCGATAACAAAATCGGTGATCATTTACTGCACGACCAAATTTTGTGAAGTCCATGAAATGACGTCAAACACACATACATTCTGGCGACAATTGATTTTCGAATTGCGAATAAGTTCACAATTGTCATATGGAAGCAACAGTCAGCATTCACTGGAGACAAGAAGGAGGGTGGTTGCGGGAAGGAGGGCACAGAAGAGGGGGTGAACTGAAAAAATGGGGCAGTACGCGGAGAGGGAGGGTGAGGGTCGAGGGGGGGGAAGGGGTCTTTCACACCGTAAAGTCTTGGGCAAGAAAGAGACAAGCACGGGATAATTTGGCGACCAAGAAGTAATTATTGATATTTTTCACCAACGTCTTGCAAAATGAACTCTAAGATAAGCACGAAACAATTTGGCGACCAAGAAGAAATCATTCAGGTCTTTCGACAACATTTTCTAAATGAACCAGAGTATCTAGTCCTACAAGCATGAGTGCAAAGAATGTCCACAAGAGTACAAGGATTTCCCATGAGTAACACATGAGCACAACTTAGAGACGAATAAAGGCAGCACGACGTTGCCGCGGTCATACAGGAAATAAGGAGAACAACCCAAAAACAAACAAAGGCAGCGCGAAGGTGGGATATTCACATCCGATATCTAAGCGTCTACTTAAAAGACAATGCACCACGTGGCTGTGATATTCACATCCACATCCAAGCGTCTACTTCACCTAAGTGTCCGCTGCAGCCCTGTAACTGATGCTGGGCGGCAAGGAATGCGAATAACCTGAAAACAAACAAAGGCAGCACGACGCTGGCGGGGTCCTAAAAACCAGGCTGCACGAGGCTATGTCATTTGCATCAGAAAAACTAAAAAACCAAGAAAGTCAAAGAAAGACCCACGTGTAAAGTTGCTAGGTTCGTCGAGATGAAGAACCCTAAGAAAATACAACAGCACGAGGCTGGGATATTGATATCGGCATCTAAGCGTGCACTTGTTAGACGCGTCCACTGCAATCCTCTACCTCATCAAAACAACACCACAGCTCGAGCCGCCCGACTGCTAGACTACGTGGGATAAGATTCACACTTTTGTTTATGGCCTTACGAATAAAAAACATTGAGTATTTTCAAAACACGGATATTATTCTGAGCCTTGGGTTATGTCCACCGCCATCCTAAGCCTGATGTTCGAAATGTCGCTTTGGCCTATCCGAAATGGAGGTGAATGACCGCGTGCCAGAAAGGAAGCGAAGGCGAGCATGAAAACATCGCAGCTCGACCCGTCCGACTGTTGAGGGGCACCGTGAACAACCACCTTGGGCTCCAGCAGATCCAGTTTCGTGTGTTGACCAAATTGACAAACTGCTGCGTCACAGGGGTATTTCGTGAAGTTCACAAGCACACCGGAAGAAAAACCGTCATCATCTTGTAGGAGGGAGTCGTAGTACTCCACCCCTCCTTCGCTAACACATAATAGGGTCCAGTGCACTCGATTTTTATGAACAGGAATGATAAGCATATCGTACGAAAAAATTTTGATATCTCTTGTCCATCTCGCAACCCTGTCATGTCGACATCCCTCATCGACGAGCTTGGTATAAAAAAAAGGACTGAAAATATAAACAGAGGGATACCCCGACAACGTAGCATTGCCAACCAAGGCGAAGTAGGACTCCACCACCTCGTCGCAAAGCCACCCCCTCTGAACAAGAGTCTGAAGATTTTTTCTACTCGACACAATAGAACTGGTCCCTTTGCGAATCGAGGAAACCACCTTGTGGCCGTTGCTGAAATCTCCGCAGACCTCTTGCAACATTCTCAAGTCTGCACTGCTAAGCTCCTCAGTAGGCAACGACACGCGAAAAACTGATGTAGCCGGAGCTGCACAAACACCCAAGAACAAGTGTGAGGAGCCACCAAAACCACCGGGGCGAAATGGTCGAGAACTGTGTGCCGTTTTTCTAAAAATTTATAACCCCGAGTGATGAATGTGTCTTTGGCGATGTACTTAGGACACGGGTCTTTGACGGCACCCCGTCAGGCATCGTCATCATAACCGTCAGACAAAGCAGTAACACTTTTGATAGACGCAACCACATGTTTCCGCAAAGCTTCCTCCTTATCTATTCCACAAACCTTCAAAACCCTGACAACTCTCCCGGAAAGGCGAGGCATCTGGACCCTTTTAAACAACCCTACAGTTGACAAGGACTTCTTCGGTAAAGCGGCCAATGACCTCCCTGGAAACGATTTACCACGCATGGCTTGCGAAGGCTTCATGGACAGGGACATTGACAACCTCACACCTGTAGAACATGGAAAACAACCCACAACCCACAAACTTTCGTTTAAGAAGTGGTAATAGCCACATGAACCCATCAATTCAATGTGGACGACCACAAAGCTGAACATCTACAGACGAGCGCGTGCTACTGTTCACAAATCTTACCGTGCTCGGGAGTCCTTCGAGGGGAACCGGCCTCCTATCGCGTCACTATGCCGACGTCCGTGGAGGATTCGATGTTCTGCATCTCGACCACCGCAGAGTCGCTAACCAGCTCGATGGCAGTCAAGTCGCTTACCAACTCCGTGGCTTCATGAAGCACCATTTCCCGACCGGAACTAAGGGCAGACGCTCGATCGCCTTGCTCTTCACCGTAGTTGGTGGACGTAGAATTATGATCTGTCCGCTTCGAACCTATCTGACGAGCCGACACCTCACTGGCATAAAGCTGAGCTTCCCACACGGTTTTTTCGCCTGCGTCATCGTCATGAAGCCGAGCCGACATGTCACCGCCAAATGACGGAGCTTCCCCCACGGCTCCTTCGCCTTCGTCATCGTCATGAAGCCTAGTTTCCAACACGTGTTCTTCTTCGCCCTCCTCATCGCCACGAAGCCGAGCTTCCCAAAACGTCCATGCACGTCCTTCCCGCCCACGGTCTCTGCCTTCCACAAACGTCCCACGACTTCCCTTATCGTCACCCCCTTGACTTGTCAGTGGCGACCCGCTGTGCAAAACCAAATCGGTGTCCCTGATGTTGATGGCATTTCCCGACGAACCTTGGAGAAGCTCTTCATCCCGCTGCACAACATGCGCCTCCTCCAAAGCATGACCTTGGCACTCGCTAGCCTCTGTCTCCAACACTCCTACAGAGGGTCCCTGAACAAATGTCGCCGCACGCTGTAAACGTTCACCCTCTTCCAAGAGGTGCAGGAGCAAGGTGTCATCCTGAACAGGACACACGTGCTGCGTACTGCGGCGAGGACTGTCTTCAACATCATGAAATAAAGTCCTCGCATACAAGTGCGAATCTACTCGCACTTGATAAGACCCCAGGGCGGCCTCGTCTCATGTGTTGGAATCTCGACTCCCTTTGCAATGACTTTCACCTCCGCCCGACCCGACATCCCGCTGCACAGCATGCGCTTCCTGTGAGAGGTCCTCTTCCCCTAAAGTTGATGCACTCTTGCTCTCAACATTGACGGACGCGCCCTCCGGAGCATGACACTGATGCTCAGGCTCGCTAGCATTGGTCTCAAACAATCCTACATCGAGCCCCTCCCTCACTTCGTGAGGCGGCCAATTTTGAGTTTCATCTTCCCGCTGCACAACATGCGCTTCCTGTGAGAGTTCCTCTTCCCCCGGAGGTGGTGTGCTCTTGCTCTCTAAGTCGACGGACGCACCCTCCGAAGGATGACGTAGATGCCCGCTAGACCCGGTCTCCAACACTCCTGCGTCGAGATCATCCAGCACTCTGCGAGGCGGCCAGTGTTGGGTTTCCTCTTCCTGGTGCACAACATGCGTGTCCTGTGACAACTCCTCTTCCCCCGAGTCCGCGACACTTTTGCTCTTAAAATCGATGGAAGCACCCTCCGAAGCGTAACGATCATACTCGCTAGCCCTGGTCTCCAACACTCCTGCAGCGCGCCCCTCCAGCACTTTGCGCTCGCCGACGTTGTGAAACAAAGTCCTCGCAGACAAGTGCGAATGTACTCGCACTTAATAAGACCTCAGGGCCGCCTCGTCTCGCATGTTCGAGTCTCAACTCCCTTCACAACGGCTTTCAGTTCCGCTAGACTCGTGACTCCTGAAAGCTCTACGCTTTCCGCCCAGCCCCTTTCTGCCCGGCCCCTTTCCGCCCGACCCATTTCCGCCCGACCACTTTCTGCCCGACCCCTTTCTGCCCAACCCTTTTTCGCCGGACCGTTTTCCGTCGGAGCCCTTTGGTTCCGACGACGTTTCACCTGGCCCCTTCCCCTTTGCTTCGTCACCACCAGATCCTGAGCCGTCTCCTCCATCACCTCCTTCATCGGGTCCTGCGCCGTCTCCTCCATCACCTCGCACACCGCCTCCCGGATGCTGACCACCCGACGGAGGTTGCGGCATGTGCCAATCAATGCCACGAGACGGTGTCGTCTTAAGTACGTAGAAAGGCGCTCGAAACTCCAACATTTTGTTGGCGTACAACTCATCTAGCTTTTGGCCTGCATACAATACGTTATTCGTTAAAATAGGACATTATACTGTGTCCTCTTTCGAACGAATTCAGTTTCAGCTGCAGCCTAAGCAACCTAGGCATACCTATCCACTCACCCATCAACTCGCCCCATATGCGGAAGTGTGCTAAGATCCATTCTTGTTTATAATGAGCAAGGTGTGCCTGATATGCGGAAGTGTGCCGAGATCCATACTTATGTATAATTCCGATGAGCAAGGCGCCTTGATTGTGTCCTTATCGGAGAAGTTTGTTAAGTGTGTTGAGATCCATACTAAGTCTTATTTTCGATTGTGATGAGCAAGGCGCCTTGATTGTATCCTTGTCGGAGAAGTTTGATAAGTGTGCTGAGATCCATACTTATTTCTGATCGTGATGAGCAAGGTGCCTTGAGCAGCACAACCTGCGACCCCCACTGATGGATAATCACAGCAACACAATGAAGTCGACTCCTTGTTGTGTTTGAATGTTGGAATGTCGAAAGTTCCCGTGGGCAGAGTTGAGGAAGGGAAAAAGGGAACTATGGCCCTTACTGCTCCAGGATTGAGCCTTCCCTCGGCCTGATGGCCGTGCACGTGTCGCGGATGTCGTCGACCCCAAAAGGGCCATGTACAAATTCACCACCTCATCGTTGATCTTGCCATTGGCTTGCAAAACGGTGAGCATATCTTTCGCCGTGATTCTGAATTGATCATTCGCAAAGGAAGAGAGGACATGATGAGGAGGCACCACGCTGCGAGAAACATCGTCCATAACCCGCGAGACTCGAGGCGCAATCGCCGTAGCGAAATGCCCCCCCCAGGCTGCAGGTGCTGTGGCCCGAGCTGCACATCATCGACCAACGCACACGCGGGGAAGTGAGAAAGGAAGTTCTTAAGGTTGTCGTTCACCGCATGACACGTCGCTAAGTATTTTTCATACATGGCCTGACCCCTAGTCACAGATCATGGATATGTCCCCTTCTCCGCAAGTAGAAGGGAAAGACATTCGTCAATGGCTAAGGCATGCTCCTTCTCTCCAATCTCGACATCAACCCCTAATGCCTTTAACATATTCTTGTTTCTTGTCGTGAATCTCGAAAGTTTCTGCAATACACGTGCCAGATATTTCGAGAAACTCCTTTTTCGAGACGACCGGACCCCTGTAAAACAGAGAACGGACAGAACCCGAAATGAATATATGATTCCCAGGAGGAGTTCGACGAAAGTGACAATGTGAAAAATAATGTAGCCCACAAGCATGCGTGCATTCGGACATTAAACGACGAGCGTTGTCGAGCCCGAGACCCCAGCACATAACGACAAAGACCACATCAGGCCAAAGAAGAGAAACGCCTACCAATGCTGAAGTTCGGATTTCGGCGGACTTGCAGCTACGACTAGCAGACAGGGACCAACCGGGTTTGGTCCTGACACTGGAACTACGATGGAACTTTGAAGGGTATGTTTTCTAGACCGCCGGTATCCGCATTAGAAGTGTCGGCGCGAGGTGGAAAGTCGGCATTTGCCGATGTGCGGATTCCAGCGGACTTGCAGCCATAGTTCGCAAACACCGACCAACGGGGCATGCTCCACCTCGCGCCGGCACTTGTAGTTCTGATGCCGGCGGACTTCAGAACAGACCTTCCGTATTACCGTTTTTCCGGCAGTTTCCGCAATTCCATTGTCAGGACCAAACCCGGTTCTGCGACCAGACCTGATGGTTAGGTTGCAAGTCCGCCGGAATCCGAACTTCGGCATTTGTAAACATTCCTCTTCTTTGTCGTGATGTGGTCTTTCGTCGTCATGTGCAGGGTTCTCGGGCTAGACTGCGCTCGTCGTTTTATGTGCGAATGCACACAAGCTCGTCGCTGCGAAAATCGTTTATCGGACGGTCTGTCTTGTAGTCCGCCGGTATCCGCACTACAGGTGTCGGCCAGAGATGGAAAGTCGAGACGGCGACAGAGGACTTGTAGAGGGAGGAGCGGATGAGCGGTAGTAGAATAAAGCATGACGGTGTGTTAAAGAACAAGAGGCCAATTGGTTCTCGCTGATAAGTGAAGCGAAATTTTGTCCATCTAACGTGGGGCATAAACCGGCAAGGGGGTTGACAGACAGCGTCGACAATCCCAAAACGCGGGAGTGCTGACATCGCGATGATCGTCAATGCTTACCAGCTTGTTTTTCTTTCCGCTCCTTCGTCGGCGACGTGGGCGCTGGTAAGGCGAGGACAGCCAGGGCCGGTGTGCCTACCCTGCACTTTTTTGGGGACGTGACGTGCTGGCGGCCCCCAACAACCCCCCCCCTTCCTCCTGTGAGCGGTGACGAGGGTACCGGAAAGCACGGCTGGATGAGCGCCAAGTCCCCGACCGCGAAAGTGTCGTTGATGAGAAGGGCATCGTCTTTTGACGGGGTGGACGGAAGTGTTTTAGCTTGCACGTCGCCCAGTATGCTATCGATGACCTCGTTCACGCTAAGACGGCGAGTCGTTTTCGCCGGGCTCACTGTCATGATAGCCTCGTCGCACCCGCCGGGGGGATGCACCGCTGTGGCCAGGTGGTGGGCGTCATATTCTTCGTGGTCCACGGAAAGGCCACTAACCACCTGCATTTCCATATCCATTGCCGTCGCGTCGTCGTCGATATCACCTTCACCTGGTCTGACGTACACCAGACCGAACGAATCAGATGTCTCCCCACAGACATCCTCGTCTCCGGCATCCACCCTTTCCTCGTTTGTAATACTGAGTCCTCCTTCTTCACCATCTTCCCCGTCGCGCAATGTAATCAACACCTTCTCTCGCCCTTCGTCTCCTTCTTCCCCCTCCTCCCATTCTCCCTCTTCTTCCCAGCCCTCGACTTGCACCCATTCTTCCCCTCCGTCAGTCTCACGCGACTCGGCTTCTTGCAGCCGCATCAACGCGGATCCCAAGCAGCGGTCGTCTGTATGAATAGTTGTACCACCTTCCTCCGTCCCTGCATCCTCCGACTGGAGGCACGTCATGGACGACGTACGAATACCGGCGGACTTCGTCGCAAGGAAGGCGGACGGCGCTGCACCAGCAATCTCTCTCTGTGACTCCGCAGATCGGCCTTGTCCAAGGATCGGCGGCGTCGCCTCCCGCACAGCCAGGGCGGCGCCCATCTCTGACGCCTGTGCTCCTGTAGAGCTCCACTAGACCGGTACACTCGCCTAAACGTCGTGCGCGCTGGTAGGGATGCCCGCGGACTTGCCTTTCACGGCGGAGACAGGATCCCCTACACATGAGCCCCGCCCCACTTCACCGGAGGAGCCGAAAGCAGTCCACGAGGGAAGGGCCGCCTGCCCCATAGTCGTCGAAGTGCGGATGCCGGTCGACTTCGCTGCCTCCACGGGCACTGGGTCCTCCGTCTGCGAAGTTCGGATGCAGGCGAACTTCCCCGACTTGCCACTCCCTGCTGTTGGGGAGTGTGTGACGTTCACCCCCCCTTCCCCCATGCCGCTGTGCGCGATCCTTCCCTGACTGCCAGGGGCAGGCGATGATGCCGGCGCGCTTCCCCCTGATGTCGTATGGCCACTGCCTCCGCCACCTCCTTCCTCGTGGCCATTGCCTCCCCCCCCTCCGGCACCTGGGGGGCTCGGAGGTCTTCCTCCCACACTACCCTGGGTCCCTGTCGACGGGGGTACTTTCCAGGTAACCTTTTTCTTTGAAGGGCTCGTCTCGAGGTCGTAGAAATCGTCAGATAGTTCCAACCACTGCTTGTCATAAAGTTCCCGGAACAAGCGATCAGCAGTGGCAATGATGGCCAGGCCGGCGGGCTGCAGGTTGCTGTTCTTTGACGTCACTTTGTCCACCACAGCACTCCTCGCGATATCCAAGTAGTCGGACTTGGCCAGGCGCTCGGACGGCTTCCATTCCCCGTCAGTGTCGACTATGGCCATGACCCACTCCCCCTTCCGAATTGCGGGCTGGATCGTCCCCGGGTGCCAAATCATGTCATGACCCCAGTCTACCTCCGTGGAACGCGTGCGGTCGTGCCCTTCGAAGTGGATGTTCTCATCCTTCCGAGAAGGATGTTGCAGGGGGACTTGACACCCTGGACGCAGAGGAGGAGGCGCAGCAGGCCGAGGTGTCAATCTCGCCAACAGCTTACTAGGGGTCCTCCGCACGGGCGTCGCTTGTGCAGGCCGGTTTGTTGAGGGACTCGCCGACGAGGAGGCCGGGGATGGGAGCACCGGAGCAAGGTGGTAGTCGATGTCAATTTCCTCGGTGTCGCTATCCTCCTCAGGTGCACCGGTGTCGAAGACAACACCGGTGAGGGACTCTTTGTCGGCGTCGATCAAGGCACCGTAACTCTCGAGCCTCAGGAACGGCTCGGATTCGACAAAGTACAATAACTCCAGTCGGTCCAGGAAGTTCTTCGCGTTCAGGCGCGCGGCGCCGTGATAGTTGTCTAGCAGCGCCAACATGTGTTCCTTGCGGCGCATGTGCTCGATGTCGGTGCCCCTCGCAGGACGCTTCTCCAAGAAGAGGAACTCGTAGATCCTGCTCCTTTTCCGGGCGCTAAGCTTGAACCACATGTTCGTCGAAGGATCCCAAACGCGTCTCGGCTTCTCACTCTTCGTAATGAACTCGCAGCGGTATGCTCCCGAGTTGACCGCGGTTTTCAGGAAATCCAATGTGAATTGCAACCACTCCGAATTCCCCTCCAACGCGATGACGTTGCGACCACCCTTCAAAACCTCCCACACGACTTGTGCGTGCGCTTTCCCGAGGAACATGATGCCGTCCCCCTTTTTGCAAAGGAATTCCAGCAGATAAGCGAATTGTGTGGGGTTCCGCTCCATGCCCTTGTACACCACGGGATCACGGCCATGTATCACGACGGGCGATTCACAAGCGTCGAACGGCATGTCGAATATCTCAGTGGGAGTCACTTTCTGAAGTGCCCCCACCGCGGCAGCATCACCCGCCGCCAACCTCGCGTCGTAGACAACAGATGTGTTCTCCCGCATGTCGTTGCCTTTGAAAAGGATGTACATGCGGTCGTCCAAGGAGTACAAGTTGTGGCCGACACCGAAACTTTTCTTCTTCTGCGTCCTCCTCACCCACTTCCCGGCCATTGCCTTCACGACGGACAGATGGTGCAGGCTGGTCATGAAGTAGTAGTCGTGCTCACGAGGGACGAACGTGACTACTGTCCAGTGCGAGGGGAACAAGTGCTCCAGGAGGGCGTTCAAACTCTCGAAGACTTTAGCTGTCCATTGTTTAATGTCCACCGGTTCGCACAAGTCGAGAACGCACGTGTGGCATTTCGTGATTCCGACCGCCCTCTGCAACTCCACGACCTTCATCTGCGCATCCAGAGGGTCAATGTCGAACGGGGCAATAGTTATGACGTCCTTCGAGTCGTTCCACATAATGTGCACCACCCCTTCGGCCAGCGCAACTTCCATGCTTTTCAACCTGCTGCCGGTCAACACGCAGAGGACCTTGTTCTTCCAGTCGATGGACAACTTCTTGTTTTGGACTAGCTTTTCTGTCGCCTTGATTGACTTGTCGTCCTCGCAAACCATGTAGGGCGGACAGTCCTTGAACAAGGAGGAGTCGCTGACAAGTTTCCTGCTCCCGTCCCACAACGCTGCATCCAGCCCCTGCCCTTCAAACTTTGCAAAAATCACCTCTCGTTTTTTCAGGAAGGGGTACTTAGTGGTCCAGTCACTGTCTGGACGGTTCTCATGCTTGAACTGGTAGAAGTTCCACAACCGCACCAATATGCAATCGCACTTCACCAGTTGCACTGCCTCTTGCATCCCCAGCTTCCCTTGCTTCGCCAACGAGGAGGACCCTGTCTGCACCCAGACCACCTCGCAGTTGAGAACCTTGTTCAACAACCGGCATTTTTCATTGTCGGTAAGGGCCTCCATGCTCTTCCAACAGTGCGGATCCGGCTCGGTGACCTGGACGAACCAGTCGCCTGGGTCTGTTTCCTTCTTGCCTTTCTTTTGTGGCCCTTCGACGGGGACATTGTAGACGACCACCTTTCGCCCGTCCTTCTTGTTTTCGATGTGGCTCACACCTGGCTTGAGGCCCTGCACCTTCTTCTTCGCGATCCACTTCGCTCCTTCGGGTGCCAGCAGTCTACCCGTTTCCCATCTCTCGAAAAATTCCATCCCGGTTTCCCATGCGCTTTTCCCTGCCATCGCGAGCGGGAAATAGGATCGAAGGGCAGCGTTTTGTTTCTTGATTCCTTGCTCGGTCTTGTCATCGGCGAGAGTCCACAAGTGATTGTACGGCGTCCTAAGGAGCGCCTCCGCACAAAATCTTCGCCATGCCTCCACCTGCACCTGTTTCCCGCTGGGGTTACCCAATGAGAAACGTTGGCAATCTTCACTTCCGATGGACGAAGTTCGCCGGAATCCGAACTTCTAACATATGCTATAAAGAGTTCTAAAGCTGCCCGTTTGCGCGCTAACTGTCGATAACCACCATTCCCCTCTACGCTGTTTGCTCGCCGCCAGCGCACCTGCTTTTCCCATTGCGGTGTTCTGCTTTTCTATTTGCCTGGATTGTAGTCCGCCGGTATCCGAAGTTCCCCATTTGCTGATTGTTGGCGGTGTCGTTTGTTTTCGAATGCATCCTCCGCTACGTCTGGTGCAGACACAATGTCTATGTCAAGAGGCGAGGAGCAGCCTACGTGGACCTCCGGGAGGGAGTCGACGAATGCAAAATCGTGGTCGAATCATGCGCACACGAAGTGGTTCGTCGATTGGTGCTTCGCCGAAGATGACGAGCCCATGAAACCGCCTTGTGGTCCTGTCATCTTCGTGAAAGATAATAAAGGACGAAGAGTGCTCGGCTCGGTCAAGGGATGGCAGCCATCGAAAAAACACGACAAGCAGTGCTACCTGATGCATGTCGTTTACAATTCGAAGGGCGACGTTCTGGCAGGTGCGAAAGGGGCGATTCTCTCGTGGGATCTGTTCCAGGGGTTTGGTGGGGGGGCTTTGAGGACCTCTTTCTACACTGAAGTCGCGGAGGGAGGCCTTGTTTCGGCCAGGGAGTTTTTTGACGAGGTCGAGAGGAGCGACTTTAACCTCGACGATCCCTGCAAAATTTGGAGCGACCTGGAACTGTCGCTTCCTGTGCAAATGTGCTCCGGGTTCTTTTCCAGTGGTTCAGTACAGCCCCGGCAGGGTGAGGAAATGGGTTCCGGTGGTTCAGTACAGCCCTGGCAGGGTGAGGAACGTGGTCGCTTCGATGACAGCGAGAAGGAAGAAGAGGAGAACACACGAGCTTCGCCGCATAGACTCGGAGATCGCGGGACGCTGAGAATTCCAGGGGCTGAGAGAGGGGCAACGGTCGTCGAGCAGCCGTCGACGTCGGGTGGCGGTCGCGCCTTGGGGTGGGAGGACAGGACAGTTGGCGTCGTTTCCGGCGGGGAGGGAGGGGAACAACAGTCTACACAAAAGAGAAGGGGAGGTTGTGAGGGGGAGGCGACGGGAGCTAAAAAGAAGCAGAAGACAACGACCCCACAACAGTCAGGGGGGGAAAGGAAGGGAGCTGAGGGGCATGTTGGCGCGTCGAGTCAAAAGCGCCCGGCCTCGGCTAAGAAGCCACCCCAATCGGCCCCTGTCCAGCCCAGAGGTGTCATCGACATCGACGCGGCATACTTCCTGGAATGGAAAAACGGCGTGCGAACAAAGCGGGAGTTCGCCATTAACCCGTCGCAAGTCGTCGACATCGGCAAGTGGGAGGCGGCATACAACCAGGGTTCCTTGGATCCCGTGCAAATACAGGCCATTATTGACGCAATGACCACGGCCTACTCTCAGACCGAGAAGACTTACGAGCTGCCGACACTAAAGCTCGCGCCTCTCGAGATGGTTAAACCGACGCCCGGGGTGCGGGCGGATTGTCTGAAGCCAGAGGACTGGGAGGACGAGCTGGCAGGGCAATACTACTACTACGCTGTGGCGGGCCAGCATAACGCGGCTGCGGCCAGGGCGCTGCTTGGCACCGATGTGGCGGTGAGGTACAACTTCGAGCGTTGGCCTGCACGAATGGTGTACTTCTCGGACGAGGACTTTGAGGGGTACTTTCTGGTCAGCGCCGAGGACAACAAGAAAGACCTAAAGGCCCCCCTGAGACAGCTGAAACTCTCCATGAGAGACATTCGGTGGTGTTGGAAGGAATTGGGTTACCCAAAAGCTGGTTACTATAGAAGATCGCTCTACCATCGGAGAATATGTATCATGAGCGATGTTCGGATTCCGGCGGACTTCAGCAAATGTTGATGGGCCATCGTGACAGGGTCCGACCTTGAAGTTCCGAGGCAGACGGTGCATGAAGTTCCGACAGAGAACGACGTGTTTGCGTAGTTTGGATGTCGACGAACTTCCGACAGGCTGGTTGAGAAGGCGAAGTCCGCCCACATCCGAGCGCGGACGTAACGAGTCGTCTGGGCAAGGGCGGACACGGGCCGTTGTCGCATGAGGCCGCGAGAAAAAACGACAGAGCAATACGAATCCGCACTTGTGCGGTCACCGGAACCTGAGATGCAACGGAGGTCCACACGCACGTACGAGGTCTGGTGAAGGTGGGGGTCCGACGAAGGGGCGTAAGAAAACACACAGTCGGTTCGAAGGCATTGTGGAAAAGCGAAGTTCGCCGGGATCTGAACATAGGGTCGGTGCTGGAGGGAGACGCGATGTGCATGACGAAGGCTCTGCACTTTTATGTTCAGTGCAATCAGATGCGAGTCAGGAAAGCCACGGCGTCGGAGGACAGACATAAGCGTGTGGAGATGGATAGCTCGGGCTTTGCACCACATGTGCGCCATATTGTTTCTACTATCAACTACTGCCTCTCACACCTCTCGCTCCTTTTCCCTCAAGCACGAGGTGTGACAGCCCGTCCAGATCTGGTTACATTCGGGGTCCCTCGGGGATGAGGTCGTGACCCGAAGCCATACATAGCATTCATTGGAGATCCTTAAACGTAGATCTGCGGTTCTTTAACTGACGCATTCTCCAAAAAGACGGACATGTATTTCATCCGAACGAAAACTCCCGGTCGGGCTAAGAAATTCCCGATACAGTCCCGTATGTCAGACACTTTCTCTTCCACTTCATTTCACAACGAAAAGTTTTGGACCTGCCGTGCTATCAGGAGATCTGGCCACCCATCTACACGTTCTGGCCCGCGCGCTTCGACGAATTTGGACCCCTCAATTACCACCTCGTTTCGTGACACAAGCACAACTGCATCGACGAGTTTCCTACTTTTGTTACAAGTGGCGATACACAGCACTCTGGCGAAATCGGTTCGGGATACAGTCAACCTCACACAACAGTAAGACACAACTTGTGGAGAAAGACCAGGGCAACGGAGCGGGTAGTGTTCCAGGAACGAGCAGTGACAAGCGCAGTCCAGCAACTCTTATTTTAGCGAGCCTGTCCACGCGCGTGGCGACGACGTGACGTAGTGACACTCTAGGTGACTGAAATGGCGGCTAATGCAGCTCAGTGTTCTGCGTATACGGCTCAGGAACTTGTGTCTGAGGACAGCGTCAGGCAGCGTGATGAGGTCTCCAAACTCCAACATGTTGGCGAACTTGTACTGGCTTGCCCAAGGGCATCAACTCTCCATCGCGGCCCAATGGACATCGTGCCAACCGTCAAGATGCCTGTCCATGCACGAGACGACGGTCATCCACGAGTCCTCTTCGAAGTCCTCTCTGGTGGCTCCATGGATCGAAAGCACGCCGTTGAAGTGTCTCACGGATTTCGCACAAGGAGGAAACAGTTCTGCCAAGCGCATGTGCGTCTCGGGACTCATGGGCTCCGGTGTCGAGAATATCGAATGCATGATCCGTGGTTGTGAGAAGTTTGCTTCCATTACTCACCCTACACACCACGGACACATATCAAACGAAACACACGGCCACGCACATAGTCGTAAACGGAGCCGGCAAATGGCCACTCCCTTTTGCCACGCCTACACGTAGTCGGCAGGTCACGAACTGTATATTCACGAGGTTCCACACGCTTTCAAGTACTTCACATGCACAGGGGAATGCGGCCCAACGACAGGGGACCCAATGATAGGGCGGATGACAGGCGAAAACGTGATGCAGGCGACACCTGTCTACAACACCTGTCTACAACACGTTTATTATCCTGATTCGTAAACACCCCACAGATGAAGCTACGGAAAGTTGAAGCTTGTGCATTGAAATCAGTCGGAGTCAATCCGAAAAAACCTCGACAAATGCGGGTCGAAAATGCACACTCGCAATGCGAGGAAGGGTCAAACCGAAGTGTTTGTAGGAAAGTGAAGTTCGGCGGGATCCGAACTTTGAGAAGGTGCGAGAGACTGGGAGATAGAGAGCTCACCGCCACAACACGTTCGTAGCAACGCGAAGCGATTGTTTAATTCCACAGCCCATGAGGGAAACCGAAGTCTCGTTGGAAAAGGTCGATAAATGGTAGTATGCCGGCATCCAAACTTGTGTCCTTCATGCAATTAACGGGCCGCCGAAAACATTAAAGTAAGCACCTGCATCATACGGAAATGCGAAGCTCGCCTGGATCCGCACCTGACGTTTGCGCCAATATTCGTCCCTGCGTGGTTTCCGGAATCAAGGCGTACAAGGACGACCACAGTCTCAAAGGTGGCCCGACGAGAAGGCGGTTTCACGGTATTCTACGCGACCGACGTCCGAAGCTCCGATTCGAGCAAGCGTGGTCGATGACTGAATTTCGGAGCCCCTCGAAGTTCGGATACGGGCGGACTTGGTTAGTGTTCAAATCCAAGGGCAACCAGGCGAGCCACAGACAGGGCTCGTCCATAACTCCGTCAGAGCACGTGAGAGAGCCAGACAAGGTCTGTCGAGCTCTTGGTCCCGTAGTGTCTTGAAGTCCGGATTCCGGAGGACTTCGCATTCTAGCACATTAAGACAACAGCACAAGTTTGCCCACGTCCCTGCGTGGTTTCTGGAATCATGGCGCACAAGGATGACCACAGTCTCAAAGGTGGCTTGGCGAGAAGGCCGTTTCACGGTATTCAACGCGGCCGACGTCCGAAGCTCCGATCCGGGCAAGCGTGGTCGATGACTGAATTTCGGAGCCCCTCGAAGTTCCGATACAGGTGGAGTTGGTTATTGTTCAAATCCAAGGGCAACCAGGCGAGCCACAGACAGGGCTCATCCATAACTTCGTAAGAGCACGTGAGAGAGCCAGACAAGGTCTCTCGAGCTCTCGGTCCCGTAGTGTCTTGAAGTCCGGATTCCGGCGTACTTCGCACTCTAGCGGTCGCCGGCCTTTTCACGCTCCGGAAGTCTCATGTCTAGCTATAGATCGTCAGAAGAAGTACAGCTACCATTGAACTTCGACTACTTTCCATACCGCCTTCGGTCCTTTGATGCGCATGCGGTACCGGACAGGCTTGCGTTGCTGTGCGAATCGAGTGGCTCATGAGAGGGTGAATGGGAATGGGAAGTTCGTCGGGTGTTGTTTTTTTTTATCAAATCCATATCAGGGTTCGATGGCCGACGAGGTTAGATGGCGGACGAGGTTCGATGGCCGACGAGGTTCGATGGCAGACAAAGGTCCGATGGCGGACGAAGATCAATCGACCGCTGCAAGATCTTCGTTCAACCAACGATCAGATTGAACCCCCGTCGGCCACCAAACAGTCGTTCCAATTGTACGCCATTCAGTTTCCAACGTTTGATCGACTGCAGGGCGGATTGGACATCCGTTGATGGAACGATCAGAAAAGAAAAGGAGAAGACAGTGTCGCTCCGTTCTTCATTGTTGGTTTCGTCTACCAGTCAATCAAATCGTATCGATGGAAATCATTCACTCAAACAAATCAACCATGTACCAGCAGTCCATTCTTCCGATTTCGCTCATCGTGTCGATGGACGTGCCCTTCCCAATATATTGTCATGTGCTGGCTGAGAACTCGTTACGGTTTTGCTCAACCTACACACAAACACAGACTGACATTGCCAAGTTTCAGGAGATTGGAATGACTTCCCTGCGCTGCAATCACCAACAATCGGTCGACTGCTGTCCATTTCATCGCAGGCAAGTCCTTCCCTTCTCTTGGAGCGTCGAAAATGGCAGGATAAGCAAAACCGAGGCGCGTTCTCAGCCAACCGATTGATTGATTGAACGATCCAGCAATCGGATCGGACACTCATTGATTGGATGAACAACTCTGATTGGAGTGGAAAAAGAAAAAATGAGTTACAGTTCCGTTTTTGTTTTTGTTATCCATTCAATCAATGGAAATCTCTCAATCACGCTCCACGCGTGAATTGAACGATCCAGGCGTAGGTTCATTCGATTAAGCTCATCGTGTCGATGGGAATCTCTCAATAAACCAAACCAATCATGTTCCACGCGTGGATTCATTACATTTTGATCGTCGTGTCGATCGGATTCGTTCCGATTTCGCTCATCCTGCACACAAACAAAGACTTGCATTGTCGCACTTGGGGAGATCGGAATGTGTCGCCTGAGATAAAGTTAACAGCAATAGGATGGGACATTGATTGATTGAACGATCCACCTGAGATTGTTTGAAGAGGGATTGGGGACGAAGTGGAAAAACAAATACATTAGCGCTCCGTTCTCCTTACTCGTTTCCGTCTTCCCTTCATTCAACCCAAACCATTTAGCCCAGCGTCCATCCGATCTCGTTCAAACCACCATATTTCAAAGTGCGCGAGTGTGTCGTCCATGGATTTCTGTCAACTTGAGCAAGCGATCAACCACGCAGGCAATCGATCAGCGAAATGAATCATAAGCCAGATCGAAATGAGTCATCACCCAGATCGGAATGAATCTTCAGAAAGATTGGAGTGAATCTTCAGCCTGCGCGGTTGATCGGCTGCGCAAGATGAATCTATGCAAGGACGACACACTCGCGCACTTGAGCACATGTGCACACGGCCACTCCGCTGGAGACGCGCGCATTGCAAATGCACACACTCGTTCACAAGACAGGTGGTGGGGAGCAGGTCGCACCTGTAGGACACACGCGCATTGCATACATGCCACGTCATGCATCCGCGAACAAAAACCTTCCGCATGGAGACGCGCACATGCACATGCACACACTCGTTCAGTCTACATAAACACACCCGCACACACAGACACACGGAGTGAAGAGCGATCGAATCGAAACGGACACGTGCCAACTCACCGGATGAACCCGTCGCCAACGGAAGAATACGCAAGCAGGTCGACGCGCACAGGCGGATGACCACACGAGCAGGTCGACGTGATAGGTGGACGCGCACAGGCGTGACGTGTGGCGGGGGGGTGCGGTTTTTTTTTGGGGGTGAGTG